GGAGGAGATACAGGAGAAGCCCACTGAAAGAATACTACAATAGGCTCATCTTTGGGCCTCTTTCTGGATGGACAGATGGAGGAGATTTTCCCTACTTCCACCAATTTCTTTTACTTTCAAATGAACTTACTTTGTTTTACTCCCCACCCTACCCCATTCCCCACTAAAAAAGGAGGAGGAATGATAAGGGCAGAAAGAGACATAGATGAAAGTTTTACTCCCAAGAACACAGCTTGTTTAGACTTGATTTTGGAAATATCTATATATTTTACAAAATTTAAGAAAAATAGTGCCTAAAAATCAAAACCAAAAATGAAACAAGTCCATGTATCAAGTTGGGATATAATTTCAAATTGGAGTAGTTTCAGAAACACATTTAATATTACTGTATCTCCGCAGCAGTTTATACTCTTTGCACACACAAAAAAATAAGATAAATAAGTTGCAGAACTATTTAACACTTAAGTACCTTAACACTTAACTACGTTAAGGTTTTTCAGTAACTTCATTGTTGATGGAGCATCAGTGTTATTATTCTATTTTCATGTTTGTATATAATACAGACAAAGCAAATAAGTAATGAGGTTATTCTTAGGAATCAGGACTTGAATAGTAAGAAAAAGAACCGTCATAAAAATGCCTTAATTCTAAATTTGAATCAATATAATTACATGGTATAGTTTCTTTCCAAAAACAAAACACAACTACACCAGAAAGAGCTACTTTCTATCTCTGTTATCTAGAAACATAACAAGAGTCAGACAGGGGAAATTTAGCAGTGAGCATGCTTAGGACTATTTCTTTGTGGTTTCTAAGTACCATTGCCCCCAAAAGAAGTAGTCTTCAATGACAGGGTAAAATGCATATCTGAAATCTGAAATGTTCAATAGGAGCCCAGAATAGCATAACATTCCAGTAAGGAAGCTGGATCATTCCAGAGAAATGTCAGAAAGCTGAAGGAGTGTCAAAAAGACTCAGAAATAAAGGCAAAGAAGCTTCTATTGGCCTAAAAATGCAAAATGGAACAAATGTAGAATGGATAAGAATGGTCATTGTTGGGCACTAAAATACACTACAGTGACAAGGTCTAAATCAAGTTGTTCTTTATCACTAAAATCATTATCAATATCTTTGTCCTCACAAGTTTTAATGATCAGTGTGATTGCTGGAATGTAACTCTGAGGAGGAACATTGTGCTACAAGGACTTGGTATTGGGCAACCACAGGTACCCTCAAAATTCATCTTGAATTTGCAACTGAAGTCACATACTTCTCCAGAAGTACCCAGACAATGAGTGAACACCATTGAAGTTTGTTCATTTCTGCCCAAAGCAGTACTCAAACCCAGTCTTCTCACAAGGAAGGCGAGAGGAGACACAACAGTGGGTGCATTTTTAAGAATGCTCATCTTCAGATGTTGCACTGTGGTAGGAGCATTTTTAGGAATAACATTTATCTGCAGACTTTCATGGTTCAAATATATCAGCTAGGAAAGTGATCATTTTGAATGCACTGTTTTTGTAAGAGACAGAGTACATTTGCCAAAAATGATTTTAAGTAATAAAATAGCAGAGTACTGGTGATTTACACCTGTAATTCTAGCTGTTCATGAGACTAAGATCTAAAGAATATTAGTGTAGAGTCAGACAGGGCAGAAAAGTACATGAAACTCCATCTCCAAAATAACCAGTATAAAGCAAAGTGGTAAGCATGACCCAAGTCATAGAGCACAAGCCAAGCAAGTACAGGCCCTATATACAAGTTCCAGTACCACCCAAACAAACAAAAAAGCTACAGTGATGATGAGGAGAATTAACATGATTTTACATACTAGACCTCAACTTTGCCACTACTCCATTTATTTAAAAACAGCTGAGTGCTGGTGGCTCATGCACATAATCCTAGCTACTCAAGAGGCTGAAATCTGAGGATCATGGTTCAAAACCAGCCTGGGCAGGAAAGAATGTGAAATACTTACCTCCAATTAACTACCAAAAAAGCCAGAAGTGGAATTATGGCTCAAGTGGAACAGCACTAGTCTTGAGCACAAAAACTCAAAGGACAGTGCCCAGGTTTTGAATTCAAGGCCCAGGATCAGCGCTGATAATCATAATCATAATATAATAGTAAAAGCCAATACATTTTTTGTGTATCTCTTTTTTCGTACCTGTACTAGTGTTTAGACTCACTTGTTCAGTAAGTGCTCTACCACTTGAGCCACACCCTCAACTTCTTTGCTTTTAGATTTTATTTTTCAGTTAGGAGTTTGTATTTTTGCCTGGATAGCCTAGGACCATGATCCTCTCACCGATGCTCCCTACATATATGGGATTACAGACATGGTCATCATGGCCAGCTGAGAGGGGACCTTACCAACTTTTTGTCAGGGCTGGCCCTGAACTGTGATCCCCCTAATTTCTATCTCCAAAGAAGTTGAGATAACTGGTATAAGCAACTACAGCTTAACTACGCAAGACATTTTCAAAGTCTGAGTAAAAAAAATAGTTTTTGACATAGATAAATGGATGGTTAATAGATAGATATAGATATATAGATATCATTAAGGTTAAGGATTGAAATCAGGCCTCACAAACACTGGACAAGGCTCTCCATGAGCCACACACACCCCTCCAACTCAGAAACATTTTCAGCTCTCCATGTTACAGCTTCATTGTTGAATGTAGTTGTTTCTCAGCCCATGTAGCTATTAGATTTAAATTAAATAGTATTTAAATTTCAGTTGTGGAGTCACTCTAGCCAAATTTCTGGTATTCAATGACCTCAGGTAGCTGGTGACAGCTGGACATGCCACTTTATACAAGCTCCTCCACCACCACTCCCCTCCCCTTCCCACAGCATCACATAAAATGCACGTGGAATGGAAGTGGCAGTCCTCTGGAGAAGAATGTCAATCCACATTAGTTTTTCTGAGGACCAATTGTCCTTAACATCAAACTAAAAAGTCTTAGAGAACATTTTTATGATAGATTAACAGATCTGTCAAACATTTAAAGTTGTTACAAAGAGACTGTACATTCAGTTAGTAAGTAAGCCTGAAGCTTCATGATCATCTTTTTAAAACTCCTCAAAAATTCACAGCTCAGGAATACACAGGGGTTTTTGTTTGTTTCTTGCTTTTTTTTTTATTTTGGTTTTGGTTCTGAGGTTTTTTGTTTTGTTTTGTTTTGTTTTTTTTTAAGTAGAGTGCCTCCCCTTAATGTGAAAATGGAAGAATCAAAGCAAATGTCTTACTGAGTAATTAGTCCTTCAATAATTCACATGAGTAACAGGTCATTTGGGGGGTTAACCCGGCTTTTTGACCACACGGTCTGCTGACAGATGTCTGGGTTCGGATGTACACAACAGAACACGGGGTATCTGTTTCACGTGCATCTGTTCCCGAACAGCTTAGGCAGATTAATACTTTGCATATATCCTGCTCAGCTAAGTTCTACATAATCACCAGGTCTCATTGTTTCAAAATTGATTGGTATTTTTTCCTTGCTTTCACATTTTTCCACTTCATATTTATCATTGTTAAGTTTCTGGTAAGTAAACATGTTTGTATAAACTGAAAGCTCAAGAGAATTATCTTATAAGAAATACTTTGAAGACTCTATTCTGAAGCTCAAATTATTAGGTTTTCTAGCCATTGCTGTAATTGAGCTGAGTTGAAAACTGTGGTGGGGATAATATTTTTTGGAAGGAAAAAAAAAGAACAAAAGTAACGTGAGATTAGAAGGATGTGGAAAATTAGTTGTAAGCAATCATTAAGATTTGAACTCTTTCTTTTATTTGTAAAATGTTTCACATGTAGTGTCCTAACACTGACTAAACCGATTATGAAAATCTGGACCAAGACATTTGAAGAGATTACTTGAAAATAAAACAAAATGAAGGTAAGACGAGAAAATGAATGAAAAAAAATCTGCTTACAACTAGCCTTGATTAAACTCTCTTCTTCAGACATATGTCTGCTTGCCTTCTAGAAGCAATACCTGTAAAGAAGCAATTGCCAGTCCCTCGGATTCATTAGGGCTGAAAAGTTCCTGCTGTAAAACACAATGCGCACACCAGACGGTTGACCCCATTGACCATTCAAACCTTACTCAGATTTCTCTCAGTGGACAAAATACTCAGTGTTTTTCTTTGAAAGGCAGCTTCACGGGTGGTTAGAACTGGTAGCATTTTGAGATAGGCCACAAATCCTTTATTTTTTAGGTGAATAAACCATAACCCAGAGGGGTGAACCCACTTGCCCAAGTCAGTTACACACCTTGCTCTTTGCAGAGACAAGATCCTGGGCCTGGGACTGTCCCACAAGGCATACAGGAGCAGCTACATACTACTGGGGGCAGGGAGGTCCCTGAAGACCTGGCAATGTCTTTTCCTAGTTAAAGCTTCTGTCCTCTGAGAAATTATGGCATGGCACCTATGGCCTGTAATCCTAGCTATTCAAGAGGCTGAAATCTGAGGATCAAGCTTCCAGCCAGCTGAGGCAGGAAAGTCTGTGAGGCTCTCATTTACAGTTCACTAGCAAACACTGGAGAGCGCGGCTGTGGCTCAAGTGGCAGAGTGTCAGTCTAGAGTGGAAGAGCTAAGGGCCAGGGCATAGGACAGCGCCTGGGTTCAAACCCAGGATGCCCAAAGGCGAATCCCGGCGGAGCCCCTTCCCTCCTCTGTGGTCGCCTCTCCTGGCTCCCGTTTTCCTTTGAGGATGCCAGCAGAAGCAGAGTGTGACGTGGGTCCGGGCTAGGCACCGGGACGCGGACAGCCGGGGAGGGGGCGGAGGGGGGGAGGCGGCTGGTCGCAGGAAGGGTTTTGCAGCTGGGCAGGAGGTGGCGGCTGGGGGTGGGGGGAGAGAACGCGGCCGGGCGCCGGGCAGAGCTGGAGCCCCCCTGGGCCGAGCGGAGAGGGGCGGGGCGGGGCGGGGTGGCCGAGTGAAGGAGAGGGGCTGCCCGGGGGGCGCCTGGGCACCAGGCGGGCGGGGGCCCTCTCACCTGCGGGGCGCTCGGGCAGAATGGGGCGCCAGCTCAGGGCGCGCTCGCTCAGCACCACGTCGCAGCTGCCCCTTCCGATCTCAAAGATGCCCCGGAGCAGAATCCGCTCGGTCTGGGGCCGCGCCGTGGGCCCGGACGCCGCTTCCGCGGGGGCCCCTTCCACCTCGCCGCGCTCTAGGGCGCTCACCCGGCTCCTGCCTCTCCCGAGGGGCATGGCGAGCCCGGGCCCGGGGTCTGGGGAGCCCTAGGCGGGAGGCTGCGGCAGCCACGCTCCAGCGGCGTCCGGTGCTGCCAGGGCAACGGCGCGTCCCGCGGAGGCCCGGGAGGAAGGCGGGCGGGGCTGATGAGGGAGGTGTGTGTGTTGGGGGGTGAGACTAGTCCTGCGCCTGGCCCTGACAGCCGGGGTCTGGCCACCCACCACAAAAGGTTGATGACCAGGAGCTGGGGAGGGAGAGGGGAGGGGAGGGCTATCCGTCGCTAGGTCCCCACTGTGCCATGGGACCGAGCGCGTGGCAAACCCGGAGTCCGGTAAACCTGTGCTGCTCAGGCGCAGCGCGTCCGGGCGGCGACTAGTTACGATGCACACTGTTGTTGAACAGGACTGGAAGGGGCCCCAAATCACTCCATTTCTGAGAAGTTACTGTTATCGTGGTGAGAGCTGGTGTTGTGAGATGCCTTGGGAATGTAACTGGAGTTGCATGGGTTTTGTCAAGAGTGGTGTGTCCACCCCCTTTCTGTGGGGCTCCCCTGGAGAGCTGAGGTGCTGTTCTCAGACCCAGTTTGCATGCTGAGGAGACCTGTTCTTCAGACAGCTGGGATACAGTGGGAGATTACACCACACACACACACCCCTCCTCAGATGCCTGGTGTGCATACACACATGTGCATCCGACAGATTGTTAAGATAAAATGCCTCTGTGATCGAAGACATTAAGGTCCTGCTTTCTCCAAGCTCCCACCTCCTTAGTCTGGAGCTGGCTGTCCAGCAGAAAGATGACCACGAGTAGCTTATTTGTTCTCCAAAATGCTAGGTTTGCAAAGTAGTTCTAAGGGAAAAGAAGAACCTTGGGCCATTCACTCTTTCTCCAGATAGCTTGGACTCCTGAAATTAGCTGACAATTTGGAAAACTTAAGAAAGAGTCTGCAGGCTACTGTTCTCAATCTTGGCTCAATGCAAGTTACCTGGGGAGTTGTTGGTTAGTTTGTTTTTAAATCCAGTTGATCAAGCTACAGTCAAATATAGCTGGAATCTCTAGAAGTGGGATCCAGACTTTAAGATTTAAAAAAATAAAATTCTCAAGGAGATCCAGCATTCAACAAAAACTGGTACTCATTTCTGTAAGTAGCATAACCAACACCAGGAGTGGAGGCAAGCAGGAAGAAAGTGAGTGCCCATGAAATTGTTTGGAATACAAAATCCACATGTATGGAGCTGTAACAACACCCCTCCCCCCAATAACTGATATCAGCCAACTTTAAAAGAAAACCAAGGGGCTGGGAAGGTGGCTCAGTGGTAGAGAGCTTGCCTTGCATGCATGAGGTCCTGGGTTCGATTCCTCAGCACCACATAAGCAAAAAGAAAAAAGCCAGAAGTGGCGCTGTGGCTCAAGTGGTAGAGCGCTAGCCTTGAGCTGAAGAGCTGAGGGACAGCGCCCAGGCCCAGAGTTCAGGCCCCACGACCGGACCCAAAAAAGAAAGAAAGAAAGAAAATCAAGTGCATCACCAAGGAAGAAGTAGATTGGGAGGTAATGCAAAAAGCTTTTTATGAAGTCATAATCCTGTAGAGAAGTCAGGTGTTTATAAAGAAATAAATTCATGCCATTATGGACATGGGCCTGGTGTGCTTGTGGCTAAACAATTCCCTTAGACACATGGCCACTTTTCACTCATCTTCATGGCCTCACTGCAAAGTCAAGCAGAAAAGGTAACTGTAGAAGAGCTGCTCCAAGCTCTCTGCTCTGAGACTTCATAGGCCTTGCCAAATCCCCTTTGGACATAAAGCTCCAGTGTGCCAGTTAAGCTAGGGCTCTTACTGTTCAGTGCTCTAAAAGCAAATACCCAGGCTTCCACAGTAAGCACAGAAGAGCTTCCATTTGATCTGATTGCCATGAGCTGTTTCTTGGAGCAGGAGTGCAGCTGGTGCTAAACCCATGCAGGCTTCAGGTGTTGGCTCAGCATTCATTGGGGGAAAGGGATGGTGTGCCCTTCACAGGATGAGTTGCATGTGTGGAGTCAGTGTTTTGTGTTCACAGCTGTCAGCCTATCTACATGATTGGAGCTCACTGGCATTTCAAAATCTCAGAAGTGCCAGGACAAATAGACCAAGGCAATGGCTAGTTCTGAGAACCTTTGAAAAAAAGGCAGGTTGCCATTACTTATTTAAATCTGGCCAGGAGCCGACAACCTTGGTCTTGATTTGCCTTGAAGATGAGAGTAATTCCCCCGGACAGAGCCTTCTCTCCTCTTCTAGAGCTCTTTAAACAATGATCACTAAGGCCTTCAGTTCAACATGCCTGTTTGTGAGTACAATGCATCCTGACAAAAGCTTTTCTAGAGCTCTAAAAATTGTGCTCCAGACCTATATTCTCAGGATCTGTTTACCCATGGGGAAAGAGAGAGAGAGAGAAAGAGAGAGAGAGAGAGAGAGAGCGCTCAGTTCCATGTTTTATATACTGTCCAGGAATCCACAGGGAATTCCATCTGCCTCAGTCTCCTGAGTTTCAGATATGGTGTCCATCTCTTTACCTGTCACCTTCACTTGGCTGCCCATTAAACATCTAGGTATATCTAAAACCAAACTCATGATTTTCATCAAAAACATGTTCTTCACAGAATTTATCAAATTAACAATGGATGTCATCAAAATCTTATATCATCTTTGTCTTCTCTTTCTCATATTTCACATCCATTCCACTAATAATTTCTGTCCATTCCACCTACAAAAACTATTCCTCCCAGCCTGTGCCCAGCCTCATCTGGCCTTTGCGCCTCTCTGGTGGGTACATCTTCCATCTGGGCTTTTCTTTCACTCTGCATTGGCACTTCCAGCTTAGGCTATTTTCTGCTTAGGCGCTATCTTGCCCTTTGAAAAGTGGAGGGCTTCACGATCAAGGATCACTCCCTGCGTATAACTTACCATCACTCTTAGAATACAAACAAAATGCTTAGCAAGGCTACAAGGCAAGATTCTTGATAACCTAGCCCCTAAATATTGCTCCAAAATATCTACTAATATTTTCTCCTTGCTCAGTCACCCAATCTGCCTTGTTTGTCCTCATATTTACTGTGCATAGCCCCTTTTCAGGGCATTAGCTCTTGCTGTTTCCCCTGACTAGAAGCCCTTCCTACCTTGTTACCAATACTGAACCAGATGTCTCATCATTTTGCTTACTTTTCTTGAGGGTCACTTCCTCAACAGACTATTCATGAGCATCTTATATCCTATAGTACTGTGGATTACTTTCCCATTGCTGTAAAAATGAGTTACTGCAGACTTAGTGGCTTAAAAACCAAACATTCCTGGAGATGAAAAAAACTCAAATCCATTTTACTACACAAAAGTCAAGTTCAATTTCTTGAAGAAATATGGTAGCAGAATTCCTGTTCCCTACTGCCATCTTGAAAGCCAACAGTTAAACTCTTCCCTCCTCTGCTATATTGTCTCTCTCTCTGATATTGACCTTTCTCCCTTCCACTTAAAAGGAAACCTGTAATTACACTGGGCCTGCCTAGATAATCCTTAACTCAGTTGCATTTGTAAAGTCCCTATTGCTATATAAATAACATTGGCAAGTCTTTGATAAGTCATAAATACCTTTAGGTAACTATTCATCTCTACTAGACCCTGCTTTATTTTTCTTTATAGAAATGATTACCTGTTATACATGTATAGTTTATGTGTTTACATCTTTGTATTTTGTCTAGCAGCCTCATTGAATGCGTCAATACACTTAGTAACAGAAGTAGAATATGAGAACCACTAGGCAAATTTTAAGTAGTATTAATGATTGGTTTTTTAGAAATAAGCTCTGTTGGAGGGGAGAAATTCCCAGTTTGTAGCATAGACCCTAGTATGTAATAAGTGCTTAGTAAATATCCAAACAAAAGAAGGATATTTGGAATGTATCTGAAAAAATGAAGCCAAGGTATCACAAAATTTCTCCTTCCTTAAGATCCACTTCTCCCATAAGTAATTTACATGGGTGCCAATCATAATCTCAAAAGACCCAATCCTGAATGCTGTAGTTCCAAATGTTGAAAGCAATAATGACAAGTCCAGAAAGCCTGAAATCTCTAAAGATTAAAAACACAGTGCTCAAAGATTAAAACCTGAATGATAAAATTCTGAAAGTCAAAATCCTCAAAATGGCAAATCCCATGGAAAATAAAAGGGTACAAATAAGCTTAGAATAACAAATCTTGAGAAAAGAGATTGGCCATGTATTATATCAATGACAAAAAAACTTTAGTTTTAACCTTCTAACTCATAAAATTCCAGCACCTTTTAATGAATAGAGTCTTATTTGCCTGAAGCAGATTGTGAAGTTACTTACTGGTTCAAAAATGTCCATATCAGGGGACAAACGTTATTATGCAATATCTTACTTGAAAAGTGTTTGAGGCAGAGTAAACAGCAATAACAGAGGCCTTCAATGAGAATGGAATTGGCTTAATTGAAGAGCATTTTTTAAAAGCTGGTATGTCAGGACACAATATGGTAAGTATGAGCAGGTGGACAGGGTCCAGGTGACAAAGAGTCCCACAGGTTATGGTATAAGTTTGGATTTTGTTGTACCTTCAGTGACAACCTCTTAAAAACATTTTGTAAACTTGAGTTTTAAAAAACAATATTTGATGGTGAATTAGCGTACGAACTCATTTGTTACACAAACTCCAAACTTTGAAGCCAACAGACTTTGGAAGATGAAAGGAAGAGTTTAATATCTAGTGGCCAAAGTTCACATCCATTTAGGTTGGTCCCAAGTGGGATGAGATCTCTTTGTGTCTTGTCCCACTGCAGTGTCTTTGTTGGCTGTGGATTTCTCTGCTTCCATATGAGACACCAAGAAGTGATCTAGACTTCTGCAGACCATTTGCTGGCCTGTGTCTCTGACTTTGCCTCACCCCATCTGGAAGCTGGGATGCTTTGTTTCATGGCACACACGGGTCTACCTGGAAACATTGCTAGCAATAGAAGAGAAATTTTATGGTCCT